TGCCTGCTCTTCCAGAGGTCCTGAGTTCAATTCCCAGCAACCACATAGTGGCTCACAACCATCCCTAATGAGATCTGGTGCCCTCTTCTGACCTGCAGCCATACATGCTGTATACATAATAAATAAATAAATCTTAAAAAAAAAAAAAGTTTTCCTTTCTAGGACCCAGGAAGGGCTAGGTTTCTGCAGTCAGTCTCCACATTTAAAGGGCAGGCTCCACACATAACAAATACATCTCTTTTCTGCATCAGTTTTTGAGACAAGGTCCCAGGTTGGCCTCAAATGCTCAGCAATCCTTTTGCTTGAATGTCCCATGTACTGGGATTACAAGAGAACAAAATCAAACCAGCTCTTTTTATTTTTGTTTGTTTTCGTTTTTTTCAAAGTTTTACTACATAGACCAGGCTGGTCTCAAACTCAGAGATCTCTGCCTCTGAGTCCTGGTATTAAAGGCATGTGCCACCTTGCCTGGCTTTTACTATCATTCTCAAAGCTCAGTCATACACTTCCTAACTCTTCCTTTCCATGTGTGCATGCATTGCACACAGAAACCCAGCTAATTTCACTTCCTCCTTGCTCCAGCAGTATGCACCCCTAAGTCAAATGTTTACCCTGCACATGTTTTTTTTTCAAGAGTCATCTCTCATACACATTCTTGCATTCTTCTATAAACAAATCTGAAGATAAAAATCCTAGCTGTGGGACTGACAGATTCCGACAAAAGATCTTTCCATTCATATTCCAACCTAAGGGTTTAAGTTACTTTTCCCTTACTTTTACTGATATTGAGTTATTGTCAAACACTTCACTAATAATTTGAACAGAAAAAGGCGAGGAAATGAAGCAAGTTGAATAGCTTGAGAAAGAAGTTGGCCCTTCTCTTTTGCTTGATTAAAGAGCATGGAGGGGATCAAGTACCATAAATTCCAGCTGGGAGTAATGGATCTGCAATAGTTATGAGACGACCGTGGGAGGGTGAGTTTCCAGACAACTAATGAATCAAAACATGGAACTGTTTTTCTAGCCAAACTTGACTACCTTGAAGGAAAATTCCTATGGAGAATTATGGGCTGATTAATTACTCCAAACAGTAACATTTCTGTGGTGCGCTTTGCTTCTGTGTTTGCTTCCCTGTGTTGGATTCTCCAAGCCAGCCTGAGAAACTGAACCGCCTTGTAGCCCAACCCCCAGAACAACTCCAGGCTCAGTGAGTGAGGAACAGGCGCAGGAGAGAAAAGCCAGAGACTGCTTCTGAGCCTTCTCATCTACTCTTCATACTGTAGGCTCACTGCTCTACAAAACAGTCCCCTTCATTAAAGCCTATTTCCAAACTCTAAGTCTGGTGTATACTGTCCTCCAAAAGAGAGGCAACCTCTACAAGAATGTGAGAAGACGCCGGGCGTGGTAACTCGGGAGGCAGAGCCAGACGGATCTCTGTGAGTTTGAGGCCAGCCTGGTCTACAGAGTGAGATCCAGGACAGGCACCAAAACTATACAGAGAAACCCTGTCTCGAAAAACAAAATAAGTAAATAAATAAATAAAATAAAATAAAATCAATTACTACTAGGTTACACAGATCGGTAAAACATCATTTATGAATAGATTTTCAAAGCCTATAGAATGAAATAACAGCCCAGGCTGGTTTGGGCTATTTTTTTGTTTTGTTTTGTTTTCTGTTGTTTTTTTTGTGGGTTTTCTTTTTCTTTTATAAATTGAGAGGTGGAGGAGCTGCTATGTACAGCTTCCCACCTGAGATGAGGGCAGGGTCTCCTCTCAGGAGCAGTAGGCCAGAGAGCACCAGCACCTGACTCCTGCCTTTGATGTGGTTCTGACCTCATCAAATTAAGGCAATTTAGTTTCAACACAGAAGATTCATCACCTCATACTGCTGCTGACAGTCTAACACCGACTCCTACATACAAAGGGCTAATCAGCAGTACCCAGCAGCCTCTCCAGCCCTTTTTCCAGCACAGCCCACATCTCCCTGACTGAAATTGTTTACATTCTTCTCCCTGAAGGACAGCCCTCAGAAAACTTGGGTTAAAACCAAGAAAACAAAAACCACCACTGCCCAGCTGAGAATTTACCAAAGCAGTAAAGAACTTCATCAAGACCTGTAGCAGGTAGGTAGTCTAGCTCCACTAAATAAGGGGGCACCTAGTCTAAAGTGCAGAGGTGTGGCTCAGTGGTAGAACACGTGCTTCGCACATACATAAATCCATGGAATCAATCCACTCTATCACCAATAAAAAGAAAGAAGCCAGGCATGGTAACACACGCCTTCAATTCTAGCACTTGGGAAGCAGAGGCCAGCAGATCTCTGTGCGTTTGAGTCCAGACCAGTCTAAAAAGCAAGTTCACAGCCACCCAGGGCTATATAATGAGAACCTGTCTCAAAAGACAAAAAAACTAAAAACAACCTCAGGCTTGTACTACTATAATATACATTAAATCTGAATTATGTAGGTAGCCAGGCAGTGGTGTCGCAAGCCTTTAATCTCAGCACTTGGGAGGCAGAAGCAGGTGGATCTCTGAGTTCGAGGCCAGCCTGGTCTGTGAGTTCCAGGATAACCTGGTCTACAAAACAAGTTCCAGGACAGCCAGGACTATTACACAGAGAAACCCTGGAAAAAAAAAAAAAAAGCAACACCCCCCCCTCCAAAAAACAAAAACAAAAAAAACAGAATAAATAAATCTAAAAATATTTTAAGTAAATTAATAATTAATTAAATTAAATAAAATTAAATTAAAAAAAATATTTTGGGGACCAGGTGTTTGACACAAAGCTTGACAACTTCACCTTGATCCCCCAGCACCCACATGATGGAAAATAAAACAACTACAAGCTATCCTCTGGCCTCTACACACAAACATACACACGCACATAAATGTCAGAAAAAAAATTTTTAATTTTAAAAATACTTGCAACTAGCCACAGTAGCCCACACCAATAACTCCCAACCTGTGAGAGAACAAAGCAGGAAGAGTCTGTGTTTGGGCCAACTTGGTCTACTATAGAAACAATGTCTCCAAAAACAACTCATAACACTTAGAGTGGATGAAGCAGGAGGATTGTGGGCTCAAAACCAGCCTGGGCTACATAGTGAGATTCTGTTTCAAAACAGAAAAGTATTTATAAAATATAAAATAGTCTTAATCCAGTCACCCACCCTGGAACACTGTATCTTTAGGGTAAATGAACATATGACATATACTGTGATTTCCAGAAGCTGACAGAGGCCATCTACTCTTTCCTCCCCCAGGAGTATTGGCTTCAGGCAGTCAGATATATGGGCTGCTATTGTGCTTTATCAGATTCTGTGGAAAAATGAGTATGCTAAAAGGTGTGGGAAGAGGAAGAAGTTGTAGAAACCAAACTTGAGTCCTCTGGAAAAGCAGCAAGCAAGCTAGCTCTCGCTCGCTGGCGCCCCCACCCCGTGTTTTGTTTTTGAGACAGGGTTTCTCTGTGTAACAGCCCTGACCATCCTAGAACTCACTCTGTAGACCAGGCTGGCCTCCAATGCACAGAGATCTACCCGCCTCTGCCTCCTGAGTGCTGGGATTAAAGCTCTGCGCCACCACTGCCCAGCTGCAACAAGCTCTCTTAACCACTGAGCCACCTCTCGAGGCCCTGCTTGTTTCCTTTTTCTTCAAAACTTATTTATTGGCCTCGAGATGGTGGAGCACGCCTTTAATCCCAGCACTTGGTAGCCAGAGGCAGGTAGATCTCAGTGAGTTCGAGGATAGCCGGGTCTACAAAGCAAGTTCCAGGACAGCCAGGACTATTAAACAGAGAAACCCAACCAAACAAACAAACAAACAAAACTTATTTATTATTTATTTTAGGGCTGGTGTGCTAGCACATACCTTTATTACCAGCACTCAGGAAACAGAGGTAGATGGAGCTCTGTAAGTTCTAGGCAAGACTGGTCTACATATTAAGTTCCAGGGCAGCCAGGGCTACACAGAGAAACTCTATCTTGAAAAACCCCCCCAAAAAAAATAAATAAATAAAAATTTAAAAACAAAACAAACAACAACAAAAACCAACAGATTTTATGTGTGTGAGTGTTTGCCTGCATGTATATGTATGTGCCACAGGCATGCTTACTGCTAAGGAAGGTCAAAAAAGGGCTTTGGATCCCCTGGAACTGATTTACAGAGGGCTGTAAACCATCATCTGGGTGCTGGGAATCCAACCCAGGTCCTCTGTAAAAGCAGTAACTGCTCTTAAGCACTGAATCATTTCTCCATCTCCCAATCTACAGCTTTTATTAGAGATCTCATAATTTATACAAAATAAAAAGGGGCAGATAACAAGTACCAATTATCAGAAAGATGCCAGGCATCATTCAGATCACGCTACTGAGTGAGTTCGAGGACAGCCAAGGCTACATAGGAAAACCCTGTCTTAGAAAACAAACAAATAGCAACAACAACAACAACAACAACAAAAAGTCAAAGGCCTTGCCTAAAGTCACATTAGGGAGGATCTTAGGGTCTATTTGGAAGATTTCTTCCTCAAGCCCAGGTTTCTACTGTTGAGGGTACTGCTATCACTGTCCAACATAATGATGCTCATGCCATAAATCCTGCCTGTCTTGCCCAACAGCAGCAGCCCTCACCGGGTAGGCAGACCTAATCTCTGAGAAGACTCAACCCCACAGTCTCACCAAGCCCTATACAGATTTCTCCCTTAAAAACTCTCCTTGTAACAAGTGCCAGCGTTTGCAAACTTAGCTCACATGGTACATATGTTTTATTCCTTCATTTGGCAAAAATGATATGGTGCTTTTAATCCTATAACAGAGAAAGAAACAATATTTTCTGCTCAGGCAGAGGATAAAACAGGTTGAGTTGGAGTAGAACAGCCTGGGGGTGTTATCTCATTGTTTAAACACTTGCCTAGTATTTTACAAAAGGGAGAAAAGGAATGGAGAGGACACTAGAGAGGCAGAGGAGAGATACCAGGAAAGACAGACTGGAATCTTTTACTCACAAGATCAAGAAGGAATTCCAGGACCATTCCAAAGCCTACAGGTATTCCAAAGCCTCACCAGGTATCTGCAATCACAGAGCAAAGCCTTCAGCCTCTTCCTCTGCCCCCATCCTACGTGCTCATCTACCCTTCACAGAACCCAATAAAGTACAATAGGTCACACATCTATCTCTCTATATGAACCCAATAATCCTGAAGAAAGACAGAAAGAGACAGAGAAAACGTCATACAATTTCCCCAGGGGCACAGCGGCCCAGGGTCAGGAACAGAAGTTACTAAGTAAGGTAAGCTGATCTCAGAGAAAAACATTCATAACCAGAACAAACCTGGTTTTTGGGTTTTGTTTTTTTGCTGCTGCTGTTGTTGCTTTTTGGTTTTTTGAGACAGGGTTGCTCTGTGTAACAGCCATGGCAGCCCTGGAACTTACTTTGTAGACCAGGATGGCTTCGAACTCACAGAGACTTACCTGTCTCTGCCTCCTGAGTACTGGGATTAAAAGTGTGTCATCATGCCCAGCACAAATCTGTTTTTTTAAAGAAAACTAGTATGCCTTTAGTCCCAGCACTCAGGAGGCAGAGCCAGGAGGATCTCAGTGAGTTCAAGGCCAGCCTGGTCTACAGAGTAAGTTCCAGGGCAGACACAGCTACACAGAGAAACACTGTATTGAAAAACAAAAACAAACAAACAAACATGGCATAAACTAAGTGTGATGTTACACTTGAAAGCAGGAGTCTTTCAAGTTCAAGGCCAGCCTGTACTACAAAGTAAGACCCTACCCCCCCACCCCAAAAAAAAAAGAAAGCACAACAAAATATCCAAGTGCCGAGCCAGGGCCAAAGTATAAGCATCATCTTCCAGAACCCTCCTCAACAGCAACACAGCATGGTGAGACAAGTCTAGCCCCACAACACCCTGTTACTACAGCAGCCCAGACACAGAGGCCACAGAGCGGCTGACACTGAAGGAGGGCACAGCCCACAATAGACCCTATTATCCCTGGAGCCCCATGACAGGATGGAAGAGGGTAGGCCAGGACATTCCTCCACCCCCACACACCACAGAGGGAAAGGGCACTGGCAGCCTGGGGCACTAGGGGCCTAAACAGGAAGAAAGTCATTTTCTTCCTCAGCTGTTAAGATCAGAGAGAACCCCCTCCTCTTAAAAAAAAAAAAAAAATTAGAACGGTGACCTGAGGTGCAATCAATTAAATCAGGAAAACTAGACGGCCTAGAGGAGGCCTTTCTACTCAGTAATGCCCAGATAGAAGGAAGAGAATACTAAGGGCTTTGGGAAGACAAGTTACCCGGCAAGTCCCCTGTTCAAGAATGACAATGAGCCAGGTGGATCTCTGTGAGTTCGAGGCCAGCCTGGTCTCCAAAGCGAGTTCCAGGAAAGGCGCAAAGCTTCACAGAGAAACCCTGTCTCGAAAAACCAAAAAAAAAAAAAAAAAAAAAAAAAAGAATGACAATGAGACAGAACAATCAACTTCTGCTAAAGATTTCCTCTTGTCCCAAGGATTTCAGTCATTTTCCCCTTTTTTTTCTTTTTTTTTTTTTTTTTGAGCCCAATCAAACTACGACAGAAATCAGAGCTTCAGATCGGCTGCAGGTCTACACGGACCAGCATCCTCAGTGCTGTATGCAGGTCTACACGGACCGGCATCCTCAGTGCTGCATGCAGGCCTACACTGTCCAACCTACTGGCAAAATATTGTTATCTTCTGCAGGTAAGCAAAGGAAACAGCTGGGAGCATTAAACGTAGTGCAGGAGCCGGGCGGTGGTGGCGCACGCCTTTAATCCCAGCACTCGGGAGGCAGAGCCAGGCGGATCTCTGTGAGTTCGAGGCCAGCCTGGGCTACCAAGTGAGTTCCAGGAGAGGCGCAAAGCTACACAGAGAAACCCTGTCTCGAAAAACCAAAAAAAAAAAAAAAAAAAAAAAAAAAAAACCGTAGTGCAGGAAAGGGTGAGACAGAAATCCTACTGTTATCTGTTTGTGATTTTAATGAATTCTATTTTTAGATCTTTAATAAAGAGCTTCTCTTCTTCTCTCCTACCAAATTTTCCCATTCAGGCAATTCAATCTTTCCAACACCGCTCAAAGATCTAAAAATACAAGACACTTACAATCGACTTTATTTTTCCCTATCCAGAACCTAGCCCCCTGCTCAAGAGGTGCTCAGTAGGCTGGACTCTACTATAAAGCACAGTATTTAGCAAGGCTACCTGAGCAAGTGGCACATTTGATGCAAAGCTGATAGCCCAGCTCAAGGAAGAGAGTATACACACACCATTTATAGTGAAGAAAAGGATGTTTTATGTAAATATTCCATAGTAGATTAGTGTCCAAAAAATGGATGATGTCCAAGGTTCTAATTAATATCCAAATTTTAAAAATGCCATTTAGAATTTGATTATTTTCATAAAGGCAGTGGTGGCACATGCCTTTAATTCTAGCTCTCAGGAGGCAGAGGCAAGTGTATCTCTGTAAATTCAAGGCCATTCTGATCTACAGAACTAGTTCCAGGATAGTCAGGGTTACAAAGAGAAACCCGGTCTTGAAAAACAGGGAAATAAATAAATAAATAATAGATAGATAGATAGATAGATAGATAGATAGATAGATAGATAGAAAAATGTAGGAAATAGTCAAATTCTTATTTGACAAAATTTTGCTGGAGACCAGGGGTGAAGACTCACCTGAAATCCTAGAATTTAAAGATGTACTCTATTTTTAATAACTTGTATGGGGAGGGGAATATGCACATAAGTGCAAATGCCTTTGAAGGCTAAAGGTATTGGATCCACTGGAACTGGATTTTTTTTTTTTTTTTTTTTTTTTTTTTTTTTTTGGTTTTTTGAGACAGGGTTTCTCTGTGTAGCTTTGTGCCATTCCTGGAACTCGACCAGGCTGGCCTCGAACTCACAGAGATCCGCCTGGCTCTGCCTCCCAAGTGCTGGGATTAAAGGCATGCGCCACCACCGCCCGACGGTGGAACTGGAATTATAAATTGTTCTGAGCTGCCTGATGTGGGTGCTGGGAATCAAACTGTCCTCTGGAAAATCAGTATAAATTCTTAACTATTGAGTCATTTCTCCAGCCCTTGTAATCCCAGAATTTGGAAGACCAAGGTAAATTAAGTTACAGGTCGCCTGGGCTGTAGAGAGACTTGGAAGCTAGACCTGGGAACTTACCAAGATCCTGTCTCAAAATATAATTTAAAGAGGCTGGGTATCCCAGTGGTAAATCGCTTGCCTAGCATGCTCAAGCCCTGGGCTCAATCCCCAGTAATACACGTGCAAACTAGCTGGAGAACCAATCCAGCCTTAGAGAATAATCTGAGTTAATTAAGAGAGGTATTTATGACAAACGATGCAGAACTTCATTTCTACCATAGAAAATTACAATCATTTTCATTGTTTTTTGTTTCTTAATTTTAATTTTTATTTCATGTGTAAGGGTGTTTTGCCTGCATGTATGTCTGTATACCACACGCATTCCTGTTGCCTGCGGAGGCCATGAGTTGGATCCTCTAAAACTGAAGTTCTGGATAGTTGTGAGCAACTGTGTGAATGATAGAAACCAAACTTGGATGTTCTGAAAGAGCAGCATGTACTCTTAACTGCTGAGCCATTTTCCCAGCACCCCCCACTTTGGAATCTTCTGAAGCAATCCCCTATGTACCCTTGGGATGCCTGAGGGGACGATACTACCAGGGGTAAAACAGAAGATAACCAGAACACTTGCAAAATCAAAGGAGTAATGTCTTCAAACCTCATTATTTTGAAACCCATACTATGTATATTAACCTAAGAAAATTAACTTTTTTTGTTTTGTTTTTCAAGACAGGGTTTCTCTATGTAGCCCTGACAGCCCTAGAACTCATTCTATAGACCAGACTGGCCTCAAACTCGAGATCCACCTGTGTCTGCCTCCTGAGTACTGGGATTAAAGAAAGGCGTTCGTAACCACTGCCCAACAAAAATTCTTTAAAAATTTCAGGACTGGGCTGAAGAGAAGGCTCAGAGGTTAAGAGTACTGGCTGCTCTTCCAGAGGACCTGAGTTCAATTCCCAGCAACAACGTGGTGGTTCACAACCACCTATAGTAAAACCTGGTGCCCTCTTCTGGAGTGCAGGGACACATGCAGGCAGAACACTGTATACATAATAAATAAATAAATCTTAAAAAAAGTCTTTTTTCAGGACCAATGTGATGGTACACTCCTTTAACCCTAAAGTTGGAGAGCTTCAGGCCAGCATGGTCTGCACAGAGTTCTAACCCACCCAGGGCTGCATGAGACCCTGTCTCAAAATAAAAAAGAAGTAAACAAAAAAAATCAATTGTTCCAAAACATATATACCAATCAGTAAAAAGAATTCTGTAAGGGGAGTTTGGTGTAGACGTCCACATTTAGGTACAAAACAACATCAGCAGCAATGAAGAGAAAATGCCAAAAAAGGCAACCAAATTGGGCACTGGCCACTGCTTCTCCGAATATGACACACCCTTTTCAAGTGTTTCACTTGCCCTTGAGCTCCCCTCTAACTGGCACACTCCCCAAGGGCTGTGACTGTCTCAAAAAAAGAAAAGAAAAAAAGAAAGAAATCTGTGGCAGCGCATACCCTTAAAGATGGGGGGAGCATTTGGACTTGGTCTACAAAAATTACAAACCCTTGGGCCCTTGGACCAGCCCTGGATAAAGGCCCTACCAACACTCCCGATGATCTGAGTCTGATTCCCCAGGACCCACATGGTGAGAGGAGAATGCAGCTCAGGGAAAGAGTGCTGCTTGCCTGACACACTTGAGACCCTTGGCTCCACCCCAGAAGCCACTGAATAAATAAAGGTGCGTATGACAGAGCCCTCTCCTCACTGCTGCTGCCTTCAAGTGGAATGATCAGTCGTGTTGCCAAGAAGCTCACTCTCCTTCCTCTCTCCTTTGCAGAATTTTTTCTTTTCAAGTGTCTTACCTCACCTTCCAGTGCCAGCCAGCTTTGGAAGCTTTATCTTCCTGGAGAGCAGAGGCCCTGCCGGAACAGAAAAGAAGAATACTGGTGAGCACCCAAACTGAAATAGAATTACACCATACTAACCAACACTGAAGGAGTGGACAATGTCACTTTAGTCTGCTGCCCATCTCACCCATTAGTCACCTGCTTGTCAAAAGACCACTGTAAGGAAATGAAATGTTTTATGCAGTCCATTCAAGACCAAAACTTATGAAGTTTCAGATAGCAAAGACGTAAAATTAATTCCAACATCTATTTTTTTCTTTGTAGGTGTACAGTGCAGATAGATGTTGGGGGAAGTGCTGTGCTGTGCATGTGCAGCCAGTCAGCAGCCCTGAATGCCATTTCTCAGGAGATGCTTGCCTTGTTTTTGGAGACAGGATCTCTCACTCAGACATGAGGCCTGACAGTTACTCTAGGTTATGGCCAGTGAGCTTCAGGGACCCACCTGTCTCTCCCTTCTGGACATTAGGATTTGTAAAGCCCTTACCACCGGAACCAGCTGTTGATGGAGGCCAGGGATCAAACTCAGGCCTCACACTTATACAGCAAGTACCTTATTAACTGAGCTACCTCCCCAGTCCTTATGCTTTGTTTTGATTTTCTGAAACAGGGTCTCATGTTGCCCAGACCACTCTTGAACTCAAATCCTCCTGCCTCCACCTTCCAAGGGCTGAGATTCTAAGTGTGTGGCACCATTCCCAGTTTCGTTTTGTTTTGCTCAGTGCCCCTACCCCACTTTGACTTTTTGAGACAAGGTCTTTCTATGAATCCCTGGCTAGCCTGGAACTCTCTATGTAGACCAGGCTGGCCTTGAACACACATAGATCTGCCTGTCTCTGCCTCCCAAGATTGAAGGTGTACACCACCATGGTCAGCTCTGAGTTTTTTGAAACAGGTTCTCATATAGCCCAGGCTGGCCTCTAACTCAGCTACGTACCTGAGACTGGCCTTAAACTTCTAATCCTAATGCCTCCACCTCGCAAGTGTTGGGAATATTTTGGACAGCAGTGTTCATTTTTCATTTAAGGTTTCTTTTTTCCTATTTTTATATTTATCTATGTGTATGAATGTTTGCCTGTATGTATGTATATATGTACATACACTGTATGTGTGCCTAGTGTCAGTAAAGGTCAGAAGGATCAGATCCCCTAGAACTGAAGTTGTGGATGACTGTGAGCCACCATGTGGTTTCTGGGAGCCTAACCAGGATCTTCTGCAAGAACAGTAAGTGCATGCTGCCATCTCAGCTCCATCGTTTTGATGATGTGTGCATGTGCATCTGTGTCTAAGACTCAGGTTGGCATCATCCCTGGTTTATGTAGTGATGGGGATTGAACCCAGGGCTTTATGCATGCCTAGCAATAAGAATTCTCCAAACTGGGCTACATCATCAGTCTCCCTATGATTATTTTAAAAACCATGATTCTAGTGAGAATGATCTTCTGGATACTTTTCTTTTTCTTCTTCCTTTTTTGGGGGGATTGTTTCTGAACAAGGTCTCAGTTGGTAACCGAGGGTAACCTGGAATTCACTAAGTAGCTCAGGTTTGTCTTAAACTTTAGGGCAATTCTCCTACTTTAGCCTTCCCAATACTGAGATTACAGGCTTGAGCAACTACACCTGACTCGAGTTTTGTTTTTGTTTCTTAAGGTTTTTTTTTTTTTTTTTTTGAGACAGGGTTTCTCTGTGTAGCTCTGTGCCTTTCCTGGATCTCGCTCTGTAGACCAGGTTGGCCTCGAACTTACAAAGATCCGCCTGCCTCTGCCTCCCAAGTGCTGGGATTAAAGGCGTGCACCACCACCGCCCGGCTATTTTTATTTTTTATATTTATTTTTATTTATATTTATGTGTACAGGTATTTTGCTTTGTTATGTGTATGGGTGTTTTACATATATATATATATAAAACTTGTCTGTTCCCAAGTTTGTAGTACCCATGAAGGCTAGAAGAAGGCAATGGATCATATGGAACTGGAGTTCTAAATGGTTGTTAGCTGCCATGTGAATGCTAGGAACTGATCCTGGCTTCCCCACTGCTGTTAACAATTGAGCCATCTTTCCAGTCTCTTCAGTTGAGCTTGGGTTTGTTGCTGCTGTTGTTCTGTTTGGATAGGGTCTCACTACATAGTCCTGACTGGCCTGAAACTTTCTATATAAACCATGCTGGCTTAGAATTCTCAGGGATCCACCTACCTCTGCCTCCAAAGTGCTAGGATTAAAAGCATATGCCTACTCCTAGCTCCAATTGAGCTATTTCTTTAAAAAAGGTTTATTTTGTTTTGCTGGTGGTGGCACATGCCTTCAATCACAGCAGTTAGGAGGCAGAAGGCAAGTGGATTTCTGTGAGTTCGAGGCCACCTTCATCTACAAAGCAAGTTCCAGGATAGCCAGAGCTGTTACACAGAGAAACCCTGTCCCTAAAACAAAAAAGGGGAGGGGGCTTACATTTGCTTGAGAAGGAGATACCACAGTTTATGTGGAGGTCAAAGGACAATTTGTGGGAGTCAGTTTTTTCCTTCCACCATGTGGGTCTTTGGGGATAAACTTAGGTTGTCCAGTTTGATGGCAAGTATCTAACTGCTGAACCATTTCACAGACCTTTTCAGCTATACCTTCTTAGTCTAATTGCTTCTTAAAGTATTGATTCTGTCCAAGTTGGAAATGTAGCTGTTTGTTGAGTGCTTACTGAACATGTATGAGCCCCAAGGTTTGATCCCCAGCACTTATGAACTGAGTGTGGCAGTGCACACCTGCAATCCTAGCACTTGGGGGATGCAAGCAAGAGGATCAGGAGTTGAAGGTCACCTTCTGTTATTTAGCAAGTTTGGTCCTCCAACAGTGAGTTTGAGGATACATGACCCTGACTCATTCATAGATAGATAGACAAATAGATAGATAGCTTGGGATACACAATCTTGACTCATTCATTCATTCATAGATAGATAGATAGATAGATAGATAGATAGATAGATAGATCAATCGATCGATAGACAGATTGATAGACAGATAGATAGACAGACAGACAGACAGCCTGAGATACACAACCCTGACTCAGTCATAGATAGATAGACAGATAGCCTGGGATACATGATCCTGACTCATTCATTCACAGATAGATAGATAGAAAGATAGACAGATAGACAGACAGACAGACAGCCTGGGATACACGACCTTGACTCATTCATGGATAGATAGATAGCCTGAGATACATGACCCTGACTCATTCATAGATAGATAGATAGATAGATAGATAGATAGACAGACAGACAGGCATATATGCATATATATTTATTTATGTGTATCTGTATCTAGGGTAAAAATATAAATCAGTGGTAAGGTCTCTGCAGAAGAAAGAACTGACTCCACAAAGTTGTCCTCTGGCCTCCATGCATGCAATGACACATGCATGCCCCCACAAACACATCATACACACACACAATTTAAAAATAGACACACGGGGGCTGGAGAGATAGCTAAGGGGTTAAGAGCACTGGCTGCTTTTCCAGAGGACCCAGGTTCAATTCCCAGCACCCAAATTGCAGTTCACAACTGTTAACTCCAGTTCCAGGGGAACTGACATCCTCACACACATACATATAGGCAAAACAATGCACATAAAAATAAATATTTTTAAAAAATATATACACACACGTATGTACACATATGCATAAAAATTTAAATCAAAATTCCAGCATATTAGCACATGCCTATCATCCTAGCACTGGAAAAGCAAAGGTAGAAAGCCAGGCCTACACAGTGAGTTCCAGACCAGCCAGGGCTACAAACAAACAAAAAACAAATAAAAGAAAATGTGAGTCAGATGAGGTCACTATATTGCTCAAGTTTTATTTATACAAACTGACTTCACAGAATGACTTTGTCATCATTGCTATCTGTAGTTCCTAAGCCTGGGCCACTGCAGCCCATCCATCTCGCCACCCAAGGCCCAAATCAAAAAAAAAAAAAAAAGAAAGAAAAAAATTGCTTAGTTATCAAACCCAAGCAATAGAAAAATAGGAAACACTATTCATTAAAGCTAAATTAGGCCCTCTAGCTAGTGCAATTTTGTAAACTACTCTAAATCTCTATTTATAGAAACTGCTATTTGAGCAGTATTAGTAGTGATCAGAGTAAAAGAGATGGACGCTTAGTGGAAGAGTGAGCATGTGACTCTGTGGAGAACTGCTTGCTTTGTTCCACTGGCTACCTGGGGATCTTCACTGGCTGGCTTTGGTTTTGGTGGGACATTGTCTACATTTTGAGACAGTGCCTTACTATGTAGCACAGGCTGCCTCTGATTTAAGTCTCAGCCTGAGAGCTGGAATTACAGTACCATTACACCCAACCTAGGAAGACTGTTTGAATACCCTAAAGTATGGGCTTACAAGGACCTAGTATGACACGGCCATCACCTTACTCCCAGCCTGCAGTGTTAACAATGTAACAGGAGCAAAGAGAGTAAAAGGATCTAATGAGAAAGGCTTGAGCTAGGTATAGTGGCACATGCCTTTAATCCCAGCACTAGGGAGGCAGAGGCAGAGGCGGGTGGCTCTCTATGAGTTCAAGGCCAGCCCAGTCTACAGAACAAGTTCCAGGACAGGCAGGGTTACAAAGTGAGACCGTCTCAAAAAACAAAAACAAACAAAAAAATGTCTTAGAGCCGAGTGTGGTGGCACACACCTTTAGTTCCAGCAATCAGTCGGGAAGCAGAGGCAGGTGGATCTCTAAGGCTATATAGAGAAACCCTGTCTCAAAAAAAGAAAAGAAAAAAGGCTTAAAAATGGTGGCAAAGATACAGAAATGTTCTTAAGTGGAAAGAGGTGAAAAGGCGGGGAAATCCTGAACCAACACACAGCACACACTAAGAACACCCTACCTGCATTAACTCCTACTTCAAGGTCCTTTGAGGTTCAATTCTCTTTCAAGTCCTCTTGCTCTTCGATGCTCAGACAAGGTCTCTATTTAATCTGACACTCTGGAGGTTTGTAACCCACACGCAATCACAATCTTCAATTACTCAAGTCTAAATGGCAGATAAGGAAACAAAGTTCTCATAACTGACTTCCTATCTAAGCTAGGCCTTGCTCTTATTTTCTTTTTTCTTGTTGTTTTCTTGTTTTTGGTTTTTTGTTGTTGTTGTTTTTCAAGACAAGGTTTCTCTGTGTAGCTTTGTGCCTTTCCTGGAACTCACTCTGTAGCCCTGAACTCACAGAGATCTGCCTGCTTCTGCCTCCCAGTGCTGGGATTAAAGGCGTGTACCACCACCGCCCTGGCTGCCCTTATTTTCAACTCTTCTCCCCTTTTTTTCTCCTGTAAGGCAGTCTCACTCACCATATATATTGCCCAAACTGGCCTGGAATTTCCCAGCCTCCCAGGACAGAAAGTGCTAAGATTACAGGCATGCACCACTATGTCCAGCTAAGTCGTCGTCGTCGTCTTTTTTTTTTTTTTTTTTTTTTTGGTTTTTTGAGACAGGGTTTCTCTGTGTAGCTTTGGTGCCCGTCCTGGATCTCACTCTGTAGACCAGGCTAGCCTCGAACTCACAGAGATGGCTCTGCCTTCTGAGTGCTGGAATTAAAGGCATGCGCCGTCACCACCACCGGCCTCGTTTTTTTTTTTAACCTTCCATAAAATGGGCCTGTTGCCACTTGCAATTACATTATGTTAACTGAACCCTTCAAGAAAGCTGGGTGATGGTTGTACACATCATTAATACTAGCACTTGGGAGGCAGAGGCAGGAGGATCTCTGTGTTCAAGGCCAACCTGTCTACAGATTGAGTTCCAGGACAGCCAGGATTATACAGAGAAAGCCTGTCTCAAAAAACCATTTTAAAAAAAAAAAGATTTTTGTCTCAAAAAAACAAACTGAGGGATGAGAGGCAGCTATGTGGTTGGGGATATAGTTCAGTGGTTAAGTCCTTGCCTAGTATCCTTCCAGTTAGTTACAAAGGTACAAGAGTTCTTTGTGGCCAAAGTGATCACTCTTGTATTCCAAGTCTCTGCTTGGTCTGCTTGACCTTTCCACTCAACAGGTCCCATACACTTACAAAAGCCCTACCTTGAACCTTGTTTCTCTCCATCTCACTCTTACTATTGACTTGTTCAAGTCCACCATCTCCCCACAGAACCAAAGCAATGACTAATGCTTCTTTTTCCAAGGTTTATTTATGTCTATGGATGTTTTCACGTCTGCATGTACGTCTGCACACCAGAACAGGGAATCAGATTCCATAAGGCTACAGTTACAGTTGTGAGCTGCCACATGGGTGTTGGGAATTGAACTTAGGATCTCTGGAAAAACAGCCAATGCTCTTAACTGCTGACCCATTTCTCCAGCTCTGACTAATAGAATCTCTGAGTTCAAGGCCAGCCTGGTCTACAGATGAGTCCGGGAAAGCCAGGGCTACACAGAGAAACCCTGTATCAAAAAAACAAACAAACAAACAAAAAAGCTGGGTGGTGGTGGTGGTGGTGGTGGTGGTGGTGGTGGTGGTGGTGGTGGTGGTGGTGGTGGTGGTGGTGGTGCACACCTTTAATCCCAGTACTTGGGAGGCAGAGGCAGGCGGATCTCAGTGAGTTCCAGGATTGTTACACAGAGAAACCCTGTCTCAAAAAAAACAAAAAAAAAATTTTTTTTTAAAAAAAAGGAGAAATTGATCACATCACAGCTGTACTCCAAGACCTTCAGGGCTCCCAATTACTCTAAGCTCCTCCATGCAGCAATCTGCTCCAACCCAACCCTCCAGAACCCTTGTGAGTGTCAAGTCTTTTGTCTGTACTTGTATCTCTCCTACCACAGACACTGACCTTCCTACCACGGCTTTCACCAGACTAACACTTCTTGAAGGTCTAGCTCAAGTTTGTTCTCCAACCAGGTCCTAGGGTGCTGTGGGATGCTCTGTGTGCTGTGACTGTGTTGCTCCAATTGGTTGATAAATAAAATGCTGATTGGTCAGTAGCCAGGCAGGAATTATAGGTGGGATAAACAGACAAGAAGAATTCTGGGAAGTGGAAGGCTGAGTCAGTAGACATCCGCCCACCACCCAGGGAGCATCATGTAAAGCACACAGGTAAAGTCACGGAACACGTGGCAACATATAGGTAACAGAAATGGGCTGAGTTTAAATGTAAGAGCTAGTCAGTGGTAGGCCTGAGCTAATGGCTGAGCAGTTTTAATTAATATAAGCCTTTGTATATTTACTTGGGTCTGAGCAGCTGTGGACTGGGCAGGACACAGGAAAACTTCAGCTACACTAGGGCCTAAGTCCTTGGCTTATTTTATTTAACATGGTGACAGAACAACTAGCATAGGGCTTGAAAAGCTGTGTTTGTTTGTTTGTTTGTTTGTTTGTTTTTAAGGCAGGGTCTCATTGTGTAGCTGTGGCTGGCCTGGAACTCTCTATGTAGACCAGGCTCTGAAATTAAAGGCATGCACTACCACACCCAGCCAGGATTTTTTAATTATGTATCTGTGTCTGCACATGCAGAGGTACCTATAGAAGCTAGGAAGCTGCAACTCCCTAGAGCTAGAGTTACAGACAATTGGGAGGCACTCCACATGGGTGCTGGAAACTGAACTTAGGTCCTTCACAAGAATGGCAAGTGCTTTTTTAAGTTATTTTTATTTTATGTGTATGGGTATTTTGCCTGAATATACCATGTGTATGCCTAGTGTCTAGAAAGGGACATTGGATCCCATCTGTAACACCAGTTCCAGGGTTGTGAGCCACCATATGGGTGCTGGAAATGAAATCAGGGTCCTCTGAAGAACAATAGGAGCCCTTAACCACTAAACCACCTTTCTAGCTTCCCCCAACAAGATTTTATTTCTGTGGGCCAAACATGGTGGCAAATACCTTTAATCCCAGCATGGGGGGAGGGGCAGAGACAGGCAGATCTCTGAGTTTGAGACCAGCTTGTTTTACATAGTAAGCTCCAGGCCAACAAAGGATACATAGTGAGACCCTGTCTCAATCATCTCAAAAAAAATTTTTTTTTTATTTCTACTGTGTATGCCTATAATCTCAGCATTTTTAGAGATGGAGACAGGAAGAACAAGAGTTCAAAGCCTTGGGCTATACAGTAAATTCAAGGGTAACCTGGGCTACACTGAGACCTTATCTCAACTAAGTCCTGGATTCTAAGAACGGCCCATCACATGTTCCTCAAGTTCCATGTAAGGCCCTATCACTTCTATTATCACTTTGTCCTACATCCAGACCATGAGACTAGCCAGCTCAGTAATCACCAGAGAAGACTCAACTGAGCACCCCTTATCAGTATAATAAAACAAATGGAGATGGAGTCAAACATTCAGCCTGGGTTTAAATCTTTTTTTTTTTTTTTTTTTTTTTTTGGTTTTTCGAGACAGGGTTTCTCAGTGTAGCTTTGCGCCTCTCCTGGAACTCACTTGGTAGCCCAGGCTGGCCTCGAACTCACAGAGATCCGCCTGGCTCTGCCTCCCGAGTGCTGGGATTAAAGGCGTGCGCCACCACCGCCCGGCTCTGGGTTTAAATCTTGATTCTAACCAAGTATGGCAGTGCATACCTGTTAACAACAGCATCTGGGAGGCTGAGGCAAGAGGATCAGAGATTTGAGGCAAGCCTGGGCTAGATAGTAAGACTCTCAGAAAGAATGATGATACAAGGCCAGCAAGATAGCTACACAGGTGAAGATGTTTGCGTCCGAGCCTGACCGGGACCTACATGGTGGGAAGAAAGAACAACTCCCACAAGTTTTCTTTTAACCTTCCCAAACACACACGCATGCACTCACACACACACACACACACACACACACACACACACACACACACACACGCACACACGCATGCACTCACAAAATAAATACAATTAAAAGTGTTTCATTGCCGGGTGGTGGTGGCTCACGCCTTTAATCCCAGCACTCGGGAGGCAGAGCCAGGCGGATCTCTGTGAGTTCGAGGCCAGCCTGGGCTACCAAGTGAGTTCGAGGAAAGGTGCAAAGCTACACAGAGAAACCCTGTCTCGAAAAACCAAAAAAAAAAAAAAGTGTTTCATGCTGGGCGCGATGGCACACTTCTTTAATCCCAGCACTCAGAAGGCTGAGGCAGGAGGCATGTCATAAGTTCAATGTTATCCTGATACAAAGAGTTCTAGACCAGCCTGGGCTACGTAGGGATATCAATGCACCAAAAACCAAATGAAAAACAAAAAACAACTGAGGATCTAACTATTATACAACCCAGCAGTTGTATTCTGGGCATTTAGCTCAGAAAAATAAACAAAGATCTCTGTATGCAAATTTTTATTTTATAATAAGCCAGAACTAGAAAAAAACACAGGTGTCCTCAAATTGGCTGTATACCTGAGGGTGGCATTGAACATCTGATCATACCGCTTGTACTTCCAGCATGCTGGGATTGGAGGCATGAATCCAGATTCAGATGTTCTTGAAATTAAAAAATTATAGAATGAGTCGGGCATAGTGGCACATACCTTTGAATTAGTACTGGGAAGCAGAGACAAGTGGATCTCTATGAGTGAGGCCAGCCTAGTCTAATTCCAGAACAGCCAGGACTGTTACACTGAGAAACTCTGCCACAAAAACCACAAAAAAAAGAAAAAAAAAAAGATCATCTGGCATGGTGGTGTACTCCTGTGGTACTAGCATTCATGAGGTGAAAGCAAGAGAATCAGAAGTTCGAGGCAATCTTCAGCTACACAGGGAGTTTGAGGCCAGCCTAAACTACAGGAAACTTTCTCTCAAAAGAATAAAAAAAAGCTCAGCAGTTAAGATCATTTGTTGCTCTTCCAAAGGACCCGAGTTCAGATCCCAGCACCCACATGGGAGCTGTAAACTGTCTGTAAATCCAGCTCCAGAGGATCAACACCTCTTTTTCAGGCATCCATACCCACAAGCCATACACACAGACACACATGCATACACAAAAATAAAAGTAAGTAAATAGAGAAAGCAAAACAAAAAATCCTACATACACGATAAGGCGTGGAGTGTGACCTGTTCTTTCTTCTGTGAGTCAATTTCTTCAACTAGCATAAAGATTTCAGGGAGCTGGAGTGATGGCTCTGTGGATTAGAATGTGTGCTCCAAGTAAGAACTCCAGAAATAACAGTACTGGGGGGGAGGGGCAGACAGGCAGATCCCAGAACTAACCAGCCAGCTACTGCTAGTTTAGGTGAAATACAAGTCTCAAGTTTAGTGAGAGACCGTGGTGAGTAATAGAGAAAACCATTCTCCTCTGGCTTCCATATGTGTAAGTGCACTCACATAATGCACACAAAGAAGAATGCAAGGCCCTCAACTGCAAAAGGTATCAGTCCATCTCATCAGTGGCCCAGGAAGCAGGAGAAACTACCTACATCTGCAGGTAAAAGACTAAGCACAGTGGGGTGGCGCACACCTTTCGTCCCAGCACTGGGGGGGGCGGGGGGGGGGGGGGGGGGGGGGGGGGGTTAGGCAGAGCCAGTTCAATCTCTGTGAGTTCGAGGCCAGCCTAGTCTACAGAGCGAGAGATCCAGGACAGGCACCAAAACTACACAGAGAAACCCTGTCTCGAAACTCCCCCCTCCAAAAAAAAGAACATGCTAGGCATGATGGTGGATCCTTTACTCCCAGCACTAAGGAAGCAGAGGCAGGAGGTCTCTGAGTTCAAGGTCAGCCTGGTTACAGAATTCCAAGACAACCAGGGCTAACATAGTTAGTCCCTGTCTCGGAGGAAAAAAAAAAAAAAAAAAAGGAAATACAATGTTCCATGTTCAAGTAGGAGATAGGGGAGGTATGTTTAGTCGGAAACGGTCTTACAACATAGTCCAGGCTGCCCTATAACTCCCAATCTTAGGGTCTTCTCCTATCTCAGACTCCTTGAATCCTAGGATTTACAGCTACCACACTCCACCAAGCTAGAAGTTTTTTAACAATCAAATGCTAGATCTCTCCTTTCCTATCAAAGTAAACTCCCTCTAATTCCTCCAAACACCATCATTCTTAATACCTAACAGACCAGCAAATCTGTCAGTCATCCATTCAGCCGTCGAGTTTTAAAGGTAAGTATGGTGGCTCAGGCCTTGTCCCTGAACTTAGGAGGTAGAGGCAGAAGGCTCACTAGTTCAATGTTAGCTAGCCTCACTACATAATGGGTTTAAAACACCTTGGGCTTCAGAAGACCCCGTCTCAACAACAAAAGGTTTGGAGGTTTGTTTTGGGGATTCAAACTTAAGGCTCCACCCATAATATGCAAAATCTCTACAACTGAGCCATACCCCCATCTCCAAAAAAGGTGGCTTTAGCTCCTTGGTCACACTTAAACTTCTGGCCTGCACATTCCTGAACTCAGGCTCCCTCCCCCATAGGCTAGCCACTCCCTGTGTACTACCTTTTCAGTCTCCCCCTCAAATGGCTCTTCCTCCCTCCTCTTGGGTGGCTGACTTCACTACCAGAGGTCCTGACATCTCTCTCTGCCACTCCCTAAGTGCCACCAACATATCTTTCTAAACACAGGTCTGGATTATGCCACTCAAATGATTAAAAGCATTCCCAGGCTCCTGTACCCTCTAAAGTTGGAGCTCCTATGTGCAAAGACTGCCCAGAGCTCCCACCTGTCTAGCTGGAAGACTCCCAGGTACTATTTTAGACACTCGTGTACATGTAGTTTCGGGTGTACAAGCCTTTATGTCCCCCAGCTAATTCTTGCTGACCCTGAAGGCACAGCTCGGGAATTCTCTCTTCAGGCTCTCATGTAAGCACAGTCTGTAGGTAGCAGCTACTAGTCATAGGTTCTGATTCTCATTCACCAAATCCCAAAATAAGTTCTTAAGGGTAAAACAAGATGCATTACATGGGTCTCCAAGGCCTACCCAGAAGTTGTCAGGTAGTAAAGCAAAACATTTACTACATGAATGCATTTTGCCAAATCAGTTTTTTGTTTTGTTCTTTTTTTTTTTTTTTTTTTTTTTTTTTTTTTGGTTTTTCGAGACAGGGTTTCTCTGTGTAGCTTTGCGCCTCTCTCCTGGAACTCACTTGGTAGCCCAGGCTGGCCTCGAACTCACAGAGATCCGCCTGGCTCTGCCTCCCGAGTGCTGGGATTAAAGGCGTGCGCCACCACCGCCCGGCCTTGTTCTGTTTTTTAAGAACAGTGAGGACTTGTCCCGCTGACACTTTCAACAGAGGCAGATTTCATGTTCCCACCAGGTGCTGTCTGCATAGTGCTACTCACTCCCACCTTCTTCAACAGGACCCCACAGGCCCTGCCACGAACTCCCGAGTGAAACCTGATTTCTTCACCAGTCCCTCTGTCCTGTAAGCATGCAGGCTAGGCTATGTCCCTGACTTGAAGGCAAAAAGAATTTTAATTCTTCATATTCAAACCATCGATTTGTACTCCTCTGTTACTGTGGAATTCTTTTTCAGAACTGAAACATTCTAAAAGTATGTTTCTGACCATTAAGCACAATATAAGCTGATATAATTCCAACACCCCATCTCCATCACTCTGCAAAACATCTGGAAGCACACCCAACTCTACCCGGAGTTATGTCCTATAAACATCACTCTCACTTCACGAGTCTGGCGTCCACGCCAGGAACAACTTCTACTCGCTTATTTAGGGAAACAGCAGGCTGGACTCTTAAGTTAGACCTCCAGGCTATAAAGGTACTGCCCCAGACTAGGTGGACCAGTCAAAAACATCGTCTTCACCATGAAAACTAATCCTGATGTAATTCAACTTAACAAAAGCTTCTCAAATTGTAGAGATTAAAAGATGTATTTTTAATTGCCCGTTGAGTTTGTCAATAAATGAAGTTGGAATTATGGCAATAGGACTCGAGTCGACACGGTGTTTCCTCTGGGAACATTTTCCAAATATGCTCGCAAATGAACCTGGTCTTCCAAATACCCACTGCAAAGGTAGTAAAGGAGGCTTCCAAAGAGGCGCAACTGAGGGGGAGGAAAGAACCCAAAGACGCGGAGCAGCTCAAAGCAAGAGGCGGGGGCGGCGCCCTTCCCAGCCTCTGGCAGGAGCCCCACAGCGGAGATGCCGCCTAACTGGGCCGCGACCCCCCCTGGAAATCCGGAGGCAGCCCGCAGGCCGCACACACCCGCGGCCGGCCGATGCGCAGGCCCCGCGTTCCCGGGAGCGCGGGCCGGGGCTGAGGCCTGGCCCGTCGCCGCGGCGCGCAGCTCCGGCCTCGCCGCCCAACGCTTCGAGCCTTCATCCACCGGACAGAGAGCCGAGGGGCGGCTCCGCCCGGGCGGCGGCGGCGCCGCCTCCTCACCCGCAAGGACGTCCGTGGCCGTGTCCCCGCCCCGGGCCGAAAGGGAGCAGCAGCAGGTGTTCCGCGGAAGGCTCGGCTGGAGGCAGCGGTGATCACGGCCCCAGCAGGCAAGCACACGGTGGCGGAGCCGGGCGGCGCACTCACCCGGCGCCACGGGCAGGCCGCGGCAGGTGTTCGCACCTCCGGGCCCAGGGACACCACTGCCGCTCCCCGGGGACTCCGCGCGAAGCTGCCGCCGCTGCCGCCCCCGAGCCCCAGGAGCGCGAGCGCCGCGCCGCAGCCTCCGCGCGATCACGTACCGAGCGGTGAGAGGGCGCCGAGCGCGAGGGCGGGGCGCGCGGCCGGAGCCTAGCAACCGCCTGACACGCGAGTGCGGCAGCCAATCCCGCGGCCGGCCCCGAGCGGCGCCGACTGGCCTTCAGCGCGCGGCCCGCTTCTGCCTGCGTCGCTCACCCCGCAGCGCGCCGCACCCGCGCACAGGCCCCGCCCCGTCCCGCACCTCTCTGCCCATTGGCCTGTCACGCCCCCGCCCCGAAGGCCACGCCCCCAAGTAGAGGCCCCGCCCCCGAAGTCGCGAGTGGGTCCCGGGACACGCCTTAGCCAGTCCGGGTGGCTGGGAGCCCTTGGTAGTTGGTGTGGGGGAGGGGCACCTTTCCCAACTTCTAAAGAATAAACCGAGGTATGGACAGGCCGGCGAACCGGTCCGGCCACAGCAGGCCACCAGTCAACTGCCCCCTAATTTTCTTCGAGCAAAAATCAAGAGGTATCTAAACCATTCAAACACTCAGGAAGCGCCCTCCGAACTGCAAAGGAAGAGGCCTTGTTACCCTACCCTTAACATGAATGGAGAAACTAGGGCCAGATCTGGGTGGGTGGGCAGGAAGGTAACCCATTTTTTAGTGCTTGGCATACAACAGGCCTCCCCTCCCCCTCCTTGGAAAGCTAAAATCCAATGCCTCCTCTGGCGCTCAAAATAGCTCTGACCCGCTAGCACAGGTCACTCACCCCCGGTGGCCCACATTCTTTAGATGGGTGGTTACTGCTAGAATCTGGCCTCCCTTTATGGAGGGTCCTAAAGTAACTCTTAACCCTCCTGGGGCTTCCCAGAGGTCCCAAACTCCAGAGACTGGAAACTTGACCAAGTTACTAAATCCGACAGTGTGTGATGGCTGTGGAAAAGGAAAGTGTGGTGAACTCTGCACCCATCCTAACTCCACACTGCTAGAATGAATCCATTCCTCCCTGGCCTATGGCCAGGCTGGAGTTTCAGACACACGCTGTTATCAGCAAGCACATTCTGAATACAGACCCGGAGGCTACTTTGCCTGGGATTCCTGCCTAAATGCCAAGCAGTTCTCTTCAGAAGTGTCAGGAGAAACAATTTTCAGAAAAACCAGGAAGGAATGTGCTACCTCAAATACCTGCTTGCAATTAAGTGACTAGGTCATAGAGGCTAGAAAAAAAAAAAGGAACTAAAACCCAGGAGAGTGACCTCAAATCATCCCTTAGATATTAAGCTGAAGAGTTAAGGGCTTCTCAAATTCTGGCTCTAAGACTGTACTATTTTAAAAAGGCTAAGAACGAGCTGGTCATGGGGGCTCATATCTGTAATCTCAGCAGAGGCGTGAGGATTGCTGCAAATTGAAAGCCACTCAAGGGTTGCATAACCAGTTTCCAGGCCAACTTGGGCTACAGAGTAATACCTTGTCTCTAAAACTAATCAAGGGGCTGAAAGATGACTTAGACAGTAGAGTCGTTTGCCACAAAGCCTGGTGACCTAAGTTTGATCCCTAGGACTCACATGGTGGAAGGAAAGAACCAATTGCTGCAAGTTGTCCTCTGACTCCAAGCACATAAATACCACATGATAAATATTTAAGACATAAAAATCGGGAGGTGGGGGGGTGGAGTACGCCTTTAATCCCAGCTCTTGGGACACAGATGCAGACGCAGGCTGATCTCTGGGTTCCAGGACAGCCTGGTCTACAGAGTGAGTTCCAGGACAACCAGGACTATGCAGAGAAACCCTGTCTTGAAAAACCAAAAATAAATAAATAAGATGTAATTTTAAAACAAAACAGCAGTGTTTAAAGCCTCAAGGATACCTCTGGGGGCACTGCTGTTTGCATAGACACCAGAGCAACTCTTCCAACCTTACTGAACACACGTGGATTCCAAATAGTTCCCCTTCTTCCTTTTTTCCATTGCTTTTGCTAAATGGCCACAGAGCCTCATTCTGGTTTCCAGGGTCAGTGTTCTGTGCTCAAGCAAACCTGGGACTATGGTCAAGGGATGTGCTCTACCTGACTAGAAAGTACCTAAGGGTGAGGTACATTCCCATTCCTTCCTGGTCCTAGAAACAAGATCAGTGCTTGACTAAAATCCTCACAACCAAATCCTTCCAGCCCCTACCTCCCAAAGTTTGGCACTCACTGGAATGCCAGAGCCCCAAGGTAGCCCTCCCCCAAAGTCCCTTACACTTGGCACGGCCCACCTATATTTCCCCCAGCCCAGAGCAGCCTTATACTTGGGGCGTCATTGCTATCTTTCTTCATTTTTGTTTGACGGTGAGGTTTCTTCCAAAGCCCCATGTTTTCTTAGGACCTAGAAAACAAGAAGCCTGTTCTGGTTGAAGGTAACACTATCCTTTTGGGCCCTTACGGGCCATCACTAGTGCTCACACAAGTAAAGATGAACAGTTCTTTTCGTGGTCGTCTACGTTTGTTGGGGCTATAAAATTGGGTTTTAGTTACTTCCCTTAGTTCTGATAGTTAAAGCATTTCTCCCACTTAGGAACCGCACACCCCCTTCACCAGCTCAGCACAAGGTCCCTAGTGACTCAATCTTGGAACTCCTCTAGGGAGGGCCAAACCAAAGCAGGTAATAGGGTTGCTCCCAGCCTGTAGGAAAGTATAGCCAAGAGTTAGGCCCAGGGCACACCCAGAAACAGTTCAAAGAGCCATGTTTTATGTGCCTGAAGATGACATTAAGAGACTAAGACTGAGGCTCTTCACACCTGATAGTCTGCCTCAGCACCCCTAAACCCTTAGCCACTCACTATTCCTCCCTCCTAAGAGTTAGCCCTAGCCTAAGGCTCCAGGAAGAGGAATACAGCTGTGCAAGGTTTGTTTCTTCCATTTAAATGTGAGCCCTTGACAATTTGCTTGGCCTAACATTGCAACCATCACCTAATGGCTATATAGCTATATATAGTAGTGGTTCCGTTTTGAGGTATAACTAGCAAGAGTCTGTCTCAAAAATAAAATAAAAGCAGGAAGATCAGAAGTTAAAAATTTAACATTGGGTGCTGGAGAGATGGCTCAGCAGTTAGGAACACTGGCTACTCTTCCAGAGGACCCACATGGCAGCTCACTATTGTCTGTAACTCCTGCTCCAGGGGATCCAACACCCCCATACAGACATGCATTCAGGCAAAACACCAATGTACATAAAATACAAATAAATAATTTTTTTAAATCCAACATTGCTACATAGCAAGTTTGAGGTCAGCCTAGGTTACATGAAGCTATGTCTTTTAAAAAAAAAAAAAAAAGTACAAGCTCAATTTCTGTTTGGAGGGAAGAAATTGAGTTGTGCCTGCCTGCCTTACCTCCTGGTTGGCAGTCAGCCCCAAGATCTAAGCCCTGTGTTAGGTCTGTACAAGTCAAATGTCCTGTGTTTGCTTGGGACTGATATGATTTATTAAAGCTAAGACCTTGGTTCTAGCTAGACCAAATCCAGTAAACATCTCCATGGAACAAATACTCATTCCTCTAATTTGAGGATTCCAAGGTTTTTTATTCTGGCATGTTCCTGAGGCACCAAGGGCCAATGCCTATCCTCAGACTCTTCCTATGAGAAAGCAGCTCCTGGGGCTGATTCTTCCTCCAGTCCAGGGGTCAGGACTGACCAAGGGTAGACCAATGACTCAGATGCCAGGCCTGCAAGAGTGCCTGGGACAGTGGGCTGGCAAACCCGTCCAGCCAAGTCAGAGCAAGGGAAGGGTCCCTTTTGTTTGCACTTAACAGAAGGCAAATTGTCCTGCAGCTTTGGCAGAGAGTAAGGGCTGATAACTTTATCGGAGAGAAACTGCCAGTAAGCAGGTTTTAGAGTCACCACCGGATTGCTCAGCAGCCAATTCTTTCTTTCTTCTCTTGTGAGACACTGTATTTCCACTGGTCCCTTTCCTTTCTTTTCCTTTTCTTCTCTTTTCTTTCTCTTTCTTTTCTGGGGCTCTATAGCCCAGGCTACCCTGAAACCCATATGTAGCCCAAACTGTCTTTGAAAAGTTCTCATGCCTCTCAGCCTGCCCAGTGCTGAGATTTGAGTCACCACCCTTTTTTTTAAGATTTATTTATTTTTACTTATATGTATGACATTTTGCCTGCATGTATGTTTGTGTACCGTGGGAGTTTGTGCACCAAGGCAACTGAAGTTACAGATGATGGATTGTTAATTGCCTGTGTGGGCCCTGGGAATCGAACTTGGGTCCTCTGGAAGAGCAGCCAGTACTCTTAACTGCTGAGCCATCTCTCCAGCCCCAGCCACAGCCAAGGGGTGGCACAAACCTTCTACCAATCAGCTGAGCCATAGCAGCCATAGCAGCCATACCTGGCCTCCCTAGAAACGTAAGGTTCTCATAGGGCAGGAACACCACAGCAAGGGTAAATAGGGATTGAATAAATGAAAGCCATTATTTCCCCAGTGGACACGCTGTCCACAGCCTCTCCTTCCTTTCACTCTACTCTCTACTGGCCAAAGGATAAGGCCGTTCCCTCAAGGTCAACTTGGGTGGCTGTTACCAAAATACTGACCCTGTAGCCTTGATCATTAGACTAAACACCAGATTAGGTCTAGACTTAGCCAAATAAACTAGACTCACCCAGATGCTCCTAAAGACAGAAACTGTCCTCCTCTTCCTCTTAGAGCTGGCCTGAGACCTGGGCCTGTTTCTTTCATTAGCCTGGACACCCCTCTGGGAATATAAGTATCAGAGATACTGATGAGCTGTGCAGCGTTACTGGTTCTGATATGACGCTATTCTGGTCTGTATGCCCTTGGAACACTGAAAAATGTGGGCCTCAAGTAAACAGACTGCTTTTCCTCTAGGCTGTGTGCTGACAGGGACGGGAGGGATGGGGGATCTTCCGGCCATCTCACCTCTCTAGTCTGGGGAATCTCCAGCATTTATGAGTCGAATGAGGACTCCTTCAGACATCTGTTTTTGTGTGATTGTTACTGCCCATAAATCCCCACCCCACTCCCAATATAGGGTCTATATTACCCTGCCTGG